CTTTTTCTTCTTTTTCTTTTCTTTTTTTTCAACTCTATATATTTAAATTTTTTATTTTTAATATTTTTATTTTTATTATTCTCTGGCTATATTATTATTATATCTCTTTATATTTCTGTATGGTAACCTCTCCTTTCTATATTAGTTTTTGTATTTTTTTATCATCTTCATTGTTAACAAAACTTTAATTTTTGAAATAATTTAAAGTTAATGTACTTTAAATTTTTTTCTTAAATTAATCAAACCTTAATTTCAAATATGTGCAATTTTTTATTTTTATTAACTACTTGTCAACAAATTTAGATATTCTTAAGGAGTATATATAAAATTTTTATTATCTGTTTGCTTTAGTAAAGTAGTTTGGATTTGTAAATATAAGGCTAGTAGTCATGAGTTCAATACCTGCTAGTTAACAGTTAATCTACTGCTGAGTTATGGTAGCAGACTAGCACTAAGTAGGATTTCTTTTTACTTAGTTTCTTTAATTATTTTATATATTATTTATTGAATTTAAAGAAATTGATAATAATTATCTATTTCTAAAAAATAATAATTGAATATTATCAAACATTTTCTTTTAATTTTAGTCACATGAAATATTCATATTCTGTTAAATAATTTCAACTAAAAATTAATACTTAGAATTAGAAATTTTTATTTTATTAGTCTTAGTTTTTATATTTATTATCTTTTAAAATTTATGAAGTAAATTCTTTAAGAGAACAGAAATGTTATAAAATAGGTTTTAGCATTTTATTTAATTATTATACTTTATATATTTAGATTTAGTTATTAGTGTTTTTCTTAATAACTTATTAGTTAAAAATAGATTTAAACTATACTATTAGATTTAGTTTGATTAGACTTTTTAAATGAGCTATATTTCATATCTATAGAACTCTTAGTTTTAGAGTTATCTTAGAAACAACTGTAGTATAATTTACAGTTCTTACAGTTCCTACAGTTCTTATAGTTCTTACAATTTTTATAGTTCTTACAGTTCTTACAGTTCTTACAGTTCTTGTTACTAGTTGTAAATATTATATAAACACTCACTTTTCTCTTTGCCCTAACTTAGATTTGTTCTCTATAATCTCCTATTAAATAATAGTAAAACAGTTCTAACTACAAGTTCTTTAGTTATTACTTAATAAAGTTCTCTACTAGTTCATTAATAAATATAATCTTTTGGCTTTAAAAATAAACTTCTCTAATAAACTGCTACAGTGATGTAATATTCTACTTTGACACTGTTGGGAGTCCCCCTTCTGTGTCTTATGTTACTTGGGGTGTATTAAAAAGGCTACACCACTTGTAACAACACCTGTTTTTGAATGTTCTAATTTTAAATTGCTAGAATCTCAAAACTCTGTTTTAATATTACTTAAATTATAAATTTGCTTTTGTTTTTGCTTAGTCATTTAAAAAGAATTACAATATTTATTAAATAAATATTAAATTAAACAATTTAGTAATTTATTAATACTAATAAATATATAAAAAATTTTTAATATTTAATTACAAAAATTAGTATTGCAGAGTTTTTACTTGTACAAATATTTAAGACTTAGTTATTTTTTTTTACTTATATATTATGAGAAGATTTGAATATTAATTAAACTATAATAAAAGGTATTTCTACTATATTCTATTTTAATTAAAAATAATATATTCTATTTTATATATAAATATTATACTATTATATCTACTTTATATAAACTCACTTCAGCAATAATAATACTAAATTAGCTTTAATAAATATTTTTTATGCTTACTAAAAAAAGATAATAATTAATATTACTTATGTACTATATTTAAAATATTTAAGAAAATATTTGTCAGATTATATCTAAAAAAAAAAATTCACAATCTTCATAATAACAGCAACAAGCTAATTATTTTATATAAAAATTTTATAATCTCATAATACATACTACATTTATCTACTTTAAACAAGTATACAGTATATATACATATATATAAACATTTTAAAAGACTTATATATAGTGCAGAAAGTCTAAAAACTTTAATCTATATCACTATATTTATTATTATATTATAATAAATACAAAATTTTGTTAGTAATAAGCAAACAATAAGCAAAGTTAACTTAAAGATAAGCTTAATTTAATATTTTCAACCTTCAAAAGATACAAAAAAAAATATAATTCTTTTATATTACAAAAATAAAAAGATAACAATAAGATTATTTTAAAATTCAAATGCAAGAAACTTTATTGTGAAACTTGTAAATCATTTAACAAGACCTATTCATAAAAAAATCAAATATTTTAGAACTAATAGTATTGAATTAGATTCTTCAGTAGCTGAATTTAATATGATTATTATCTATTTACAAGTTGTTAATTATATATAAATATGTTATTATATTAAATTTTATTTTGAATTATAGTTATACTACATATAATAACAGAATTATTATTATAGTAATTACAACTATTTTAGCAATTACAACAATTACAACTATTATAGTAATTATAACTATTATAATATTTATAGCAATATAATATATTACAAATTTTGAAAATAGGTATAATTAGAGTTGCAAACCAGGTTGTAATTTATAATATCTGTAATTATTACTTATAACTAGCAACCTTAGTATAGATTCTATAAGTTTTAATTATTAATAGATTTAGTGAATCAAATATAAAAAGAGTTTATTTATATTTCTTATTAACAATAAAGAGTAATTGTATTGAATTTAAAAATTAAAAATATAATTAAAAAAATTTTATTGTTATTCTTTATAATTTTTAAGTAATTTCTATAAGATAGTTATTCAATAATCAATTAATAAGTTATAACAATTTAAGAAACTACTAAGCTAGTTATTGAAAACTTAAATAGTTTAAAATTTAATTAGTTTTGAAAATTTGTAGTTTAGTTAAGTAAATTTGTTTTTGTAATTATTATCTTACTAGTAACAAAATTTTGTAATTAATATTGGTTTATAATTTAATCAAATAAAAATTTTTCTATTTGTAAATAATAAGATAAATATCTTTATATAACTTAAATGTCTTTGGTAAAGTCTTAATTAATTAGTCATTTTTATCTATTCAGTTATATAATTGATTTAGTTAAATATTAAAATTTTTAAACACTTGTTTAATACTTATTTCTTCTTAATTTTGTTCATAGTAAATAATAATATTAATTTTTCATAAATATTTCATCTTCTTTTTAGTTTTTTTGTTATATAAGCTTTAGAAATACTTCTATTGCCTAAGGTAAACATTTTTTTTTTTTAAAAAAAATAACATTTTTATATTATATATCTTTTTTCAAATATATTTGTTAGAGATCTGTTTGTTTCATAAATCTTTTTTATTACAATTACAAAAAATCACAAAGAAAGATCTATTTGTTTTTATGAATTACTTGTTATAATTACTACAATTACAAAAAAATAAAGATTACTCTAAAAAAAAATATATAAAAATATTATCTTTATAGTAAAATAATAAACAAATTCTTTTCTAGTAAAAATTAATAATCATTTACATAAGCCTGTTATTTGTTGGCATAACAGTAATTGTTGAAATAATAGCAATTGTTAAAATAACAGTAAGGATGTTAAATAGTCCATGGGAAACTAGTTCGTACTAGGTTCTGAATCAGACTTTTTAGGATAGTTTAGAACTGTTCAAAACTAGTTGAAATAAACACATAATATAAATGAATGTCATTTTAACACATAAAATAAAATTTAACTATATGTGAATCAAGAAAAATACTGAGTCTTGGAGAAACTAACTCTATAAATCTATATCAATAATCTGTAATTCCATGAAAAGTATTTCAGTAATGTATTACAAGGTTCCGTATTGTATATTAAACACTAGAGTTGGACTGGTTTGAGACAGAAGCTGTGAACTAGTTCTTAACTAGTTCAGGACCAGATTTTTTAGGGACGAACCCGGACTGGACCGGACGGACTTTTTAACATCTCTAAATAACAGCAATTGTTGCGATCCGAAATGCACCATTAAAATACAGTATCCGCATAATCCGACATGGGGGTGGTTTGGCCCATGAAATACGGTAATAAGGATTTTCTATGTAAATACATAAAAAATGATTATTCGTCACAAAATGATTTCTCACACCCTTTTTAAGTTTTCTTTAGCGTCGCATTTGCATAAATTTTATAATCATACTATACACAATATGTTACTTCAATACTCAGTTGTGCATCACCAACCTAGAGCTTGTACCCGCCTAAAAATTTATGCTCCGGTTTACTCACCCGTTATGTCAGTATTAACCGGGTCACAACCCGGGTTACTTCAAATGATTCGAGGTAACCCGGTGAACCGGTTGACCCGTTAATTTATGTTATTTATGTCCTTTGGAATATTCTCCCGAAATTTTATGACCTTGCTCGTCTTTTAACGTTCATTGATATTCTATTTCGTAACTTTTCGGAGCCCCTATCTCTCACCATTCTTATTTAACCAGATACCGGGTTGTCGGATAAACGGGTACAAGCTCTACACCAACCATACACACGTGTTTGCTTGTTTAATGTATTATACACAACTACTTCGCTTTACCATACACCACTACTATTCGTATTACTCAAAAACTTGAAGCATTGGTAAAAAAGCTTAAAAAACCATTTGTTTTAGGGCGAGTCTATTGGTTTGACCGGCTATTAACATATTTAAAGAGTATATGTGGATTTTAGCAGGGCTTATGGCTTCAAATCGAGACCCCAAATTTCAGCAATTTCAGCATCAACCGCGACAATAACTTATGACGTGTACTAGTAAAAATAAGTTGATGACGTTTGTCAGTAGAAATAAGAATATGAAAAAAGTCATGTGGATGGGGTTGAGCCAGGGGCTAATATATAATACTATGGTTATTATAGGTTTCTTAAATAATGCTACATTAAATAATTAATTATTACAATTATAACGATAGCAATATATTATACATAAAGTTACGAAGACATAGAACTGAACTTCTTTTTAGTAATTATCCTCTTTTTTAATAACTTGAAACACTTCATATTCATCTACACAAAATCTGTGTTCATTTGTGATTCTACGTTCATAGGAATTAACTTGCGCCCAACAATTATAACCTTTGTTAAACTGATCTTTCATTTCTAAATCACTAGACCCAAATGCTGGACCGTACATTTTACCATGAAATATGGCTCTATTTGCATTATTAATTTTTACTCTGCTCAATATAACGTTTTTTACACTTTTCCCATTACCAAGAGAGAATAAAAAACTATCTTCCGTATATTCCCAAATGTCCTGTCCTTTCCATCCGACTGGATTATAACCTCCAATAATTTGATCTGTTTTACTAATTCTTACTACCACTACACATGGACCTTTTTTATCACATTTTTTATGAAATACTGATGGAGTAAACCCATCACGCGACCCACGTAAAATTAACTTGAAATCATAAATGTCATGACATGCACATGGGCTACCAACTTTTTTATCAATCCTGTTATTAAAAAAAAAAAAAAACAATATATATATGTAAGTAGTCATGTTAAGAATATATGAAAAGACTTGTCTTCACAAAACTCTGGATTGACATAACAAATTTCAATGATACATAATCCAGGGCTAGCTTGACTGACTTTTGATTTAAAACAAGAATCAATCGGTTCATTTAAAAATTTAGATATATACCAATGTGAAATTATTGCTACATGTTTTGAATTAATAATAGCATTTGGGTCCAAATTTGTTGTAGGAAAGCGAACAGGAGATATAGCAGATGTTACTTGAGCACCAGGTACCATGTAATATCGTACCATTTCTTCCGCTATATTTTCAGGTAAAATAACTTTATATGGCCATACTTTATAATAAAAATCAAAAGAAGAAATTCCTGTAAACCCGACAAGAGAAATACAATGAATTAATGTATTTTTTAATGTGATAAAATCGTCAAATGACCATTCAGATATGTTTCGTTCTTCAAGGGTTGGAGTTTGAGCCATCCCCCATTTAATAAGGCTATTCCATACTTCAATTTCCTGCATCCAAAGGTCACCTCTTTTTAAAAGGTAAATTATAATATTTTCATCTAATTGTGGAAGATCATCTGAACCAAATATAAGATTCGGATCAGCACATGTTTCGTTAAGACAAAATTCTCGAAGTCTTGAACAAGAATCTTGCATGAAAATTGTGTTTAGCACGTGAACAACATTCTTTTGTATCCAAGCAGTTTCTTTTGTAATGAGATAATCTTGTATCCGTGCGACATATTCTCCTAGCATTAATTCATCCGCGGCGACTAGAAGACCAAGTATATCCGCATTAGAATCGTTTGGATTAATGATGATCGTTCCAGTGTAAATATATCTGCAGGAAATTTAACATTATTAATATTAAATATAATGGCACATAATAAATTGAAAAACTTACTTAAGAATCAAATCAAATACCGATGGTGATATATTAGATTTTCTAAAAATTGTAGGATTTTCTTCTTTTCTAACCCAGTTACTTGATAATGCCGCGCGAAAATATGGACATCGAGCGCGTAAAATAGCTGAATGAACTTTAAATGATTTTACATCAGGTTCTTCACCAACTTGAAGAAGAACATTGTAGTCATCCCCGTTTTGAAGAAGTGCGGCAAGATCACGGGAAAGTCCAATTAAGAAGTCAGATGTCATTGTAATAAATTTTTTTTTATATTTTTTTTTTTTTTTTAAAAAAAAATTGGGTTACAAGGTATTTTTACCTACTTTTTATATAATAGATTAGAAACTTCCATTAATGGATTAACACACGTTTATCGATCATCCAGTCACATAGTTACATGTGACATAGTTATAATTTCGTTACCTAATGCAGAGATTATTTCTAATATTTCTTCACGCACTAACGCTAACGATAAAGCTAACGCTAAATTTAATAAAAAGGAAGAAAATAACGCCAAAATTCCAAAATGGTTACTCAGATCTATTCCCGTTTAAAATTATAGAATCTTTGTTTACTACGACAAAAGAAATGATATCCGTGATAAGAGTAAAAAAAAAAAAAACCGCGAAATAATAAATAAATTAGCAATGAAACTTTAATATCGATATTTCTCGGCACTGGAAAATTTGTAACACCTTATAAAAATAAAAAGTAACTTTTGCAATGATTACAAGCCCCTTTTACATCGATATATTTTTCTACAGAGAAAAAAAAGCTTGTGCGCAACAGGATTTTATGAACACAGTTATAACGGCCTACGTTAACAATCTCACATTACCTTTATATTTCATATCTGATAACATTTTTATTAAGATAATATGTGCGTACTACAAAGTACCAAAACTAGCATTTATTCAGAATGTACATTCTTTGAAGCAATTGAGTTAATCATAAAATAAATACGTAATATACTTTTTAGACACAGCCATTTGGCTTTTTCTTTAACAGTTAAGGCTTTGAAACTCCTTTAAAAATTGTCCACGTGGCAGTCGACAAATTCGTTCTCGATTTTTTTAAAACTTGTTAATCGAACACCATAACACCGTGTAACGTTGTCAACTTTGCCTTGAAGAACAAATTGGGAGATAAACAATAATCAGGGGTCATTCTAAATGATTTATTTGAACGCTAATCAGAATTCTAAGAGACAGTCTTGCTGAACCAATATGAAGTATATTTTAAACTCTCTAATCCTAGCATTAGGGTTTGCCTTCACTTTTATCAAAACTACAAGTGCGGCTGCCGGTTTGTACCTAAAGTTTCTCTTCTAATCTATTGTTTTTAAAAGGTTCTAATTACCGTTTTTCGTCTTATAGCTGCAGATTATTATGTACATTCTTTACCTGGTCTTCCTGACAATGCGAATATCAAATCACATGCCGGGTAAAGAACATATAAAGTTTTTGTCTTTTTATGTAGTAAAGGAGAACTTGAACACAGATTAACTTAAATAATCAAATCACAGGCATATAACGATAGACGAAAGTACTAATTCTAATATATTCTTCTGGTTGATGCATAATCGCCACATCGGTGATAAACCTAGACTAGTAAGTTGGTTTTTTTATTAATTAGATCGTGCATATACTTACAAATTATTTTAATCTCCGCCGTTTTTTTTTCCAGATTATATGGATCAATGGCGGTATGTATATGCTAGAATAATGAATTATATATGCTAGTTATATGAGGTTTCTAATAAACTTATGATCTTAAAGGTCCTGGATGGTAAGTCGAAGTATAGCATTAAGCATTGATAGTATATTAGCATTTATTTTTAGTTTAACATTTAATTATTTAGTTCGAGGTAAGGTTGCTTATTTGTTAGATCAATTAGCTATCAAGATTTTCAGAATTATTAAATTATAGTCAATTTTAAAGCATGGATGGTGTATTTCTCGAAAACGGTCCGTGGAGAGTTAAAAAGGATCTAACTTTAAAAATTATCGATGGCTCATGGGTCGAATATGCTAATATGCTTTATGGTGAATATGCTTTATAGTGTTTTAAATCTCTTTGATTTCATGTCATTCGTTGGATATTATTTCATTATTTCTTTCTAAAAAAAAATATATTTTTTTAACTTACGTATTAATTTTGCTCTCTCTCTCTTTTTTTTTTTTTTTTTTTTAATGCAGTTGATCAGCCAGTTGGCACTGGCTTTAGCTATGCGAATAAAACGGGTTATTTAACAAATGTGACGCAGGTTAGAATATATTATTGCTAACGATCAATTTATATTTGATCGCGTAAAATTATGAACTTCATTTTTAACTACAATAGGTTCCTGGAGAATTTATACTTTTTCTTGATAAATTCTTTGAAATATTTCCAGAATACAGCAAAGATGATGTAAGCAAAATTAAATTATTTTAATTGATGGATTTAATTGATGTGTGTAATATAATAATAACCAGCATTTCACCTTTTTATAATCTTTAAGATGTATATTGCTGGCGAGAGTTTTGCTGGCACTTTTATACCCTACATAGCCGCTGGAATTTTGAATCGCAACAATGAAAGAAATACTGCTGAAAATCATAAGGTGATAATTTTAAAGGTGTATCATATGAGTATATTTTATATTATATTAATGTAAATCTATTATATAGTACAATCTCAAAGGCATAGCAATAGGCAACGGATGGATTGATCCTATTTCACAGGTATTGTGTTAATGTTTGGTCGCCCTGAAAGCATTAAACGATTTTCCATCTATATTGTAGAGAAAATAATTGATACTATCAGGAGTTACTGTATGATCTTTAGTCAATTTCTATTGTCATAATAATAATTATTATTTTAATCTCTTTGAATGAATTTTATAATAATTTACAATGGTAAAATATTAGTACACTGCATATTATACTTTTTCGGTAAATCACAATCTAATAGGTGAAGGCAACTACAAGGTATAATAATAATGTAACGTTTGAATTATGTCGGTTATTTTGAAACTAATATATCATGTATAGGTTACCGCTGAAAATCAACTCTCAAGTTGCATGGCTATTGAAAAAGCGAACTTTACTATTCATAATGACCTTTGTGAAGAAGTCCTCTTGACAGTTTTAAAAAGTTCTCGTAAAACGTATTTACCTATACCTATTATCCTTTACCATTTATTTTATTTTATTTTCACAACTAAACAAATTAAGATGTTCTTAGGGTTGGAAAGAAGATTACATGTATAAATCAATATGATATTCGAGACCATTCTGATTCATATCCTTCTTGTGGACTTTCATGGCCTTATGAACTCCCATCTATGTACGCATATTTACGGGTAATTATATAATTTTTATGTTTATATTAGGCAATATCCCTATTATAATGAATGTTCATTACTATTAGCGGGTTGATGTTGTAAAAGCCATCCATGCTGAAGGCAAAGGAACTGACTGGGTAGAGTGCAGTTCTCCAGTAAGTCGTGCTTTTGATAATGACAAGTCTCCACCTTCTGTAGAGGTACGTAATTGTTTGCATAAGTTTAGTTTATTTAATTATAATTTATACATTAAATTTATTATTCATAATATTATAGTTACTACCATCTCTTTTAAAACAAATTAATGTTTTATTATATAGGCATGTATGTGTGAATGACGAATTTTATTTTATTATTATATTAATATTTTTTTTCATATTATATTTGAATAGTGGTGATCAAGATCTCATTTGTAACCATGACGGTACTGAAAATTTGATTAAAGAATTAGAATGGAATGGGGCAAAAGGTTTTCAGGTTAATATATTCACATGATTTTATAATATCATTCTCATTATGATAATTGACTAATTATTATGATTATTATTTGTTGCAAATTATATTTAGAATAATACTAAAACATCTTTGTTCTCTGACAATGCTGTTTATGGATATATGATATCAGAGCGAAATCTCACTTATGTGCTTATGTACAATTCCAGTCACATGGTGCCTTATGACGTACCAATACCTAGTATGGATATGATGTATCGATTCATGGGAATGAGATCACAAACAATTAAATTCCCATCTGGGACTACCTACAAAGTAAACCTTTTTTATTTTATTCGATTTCAGCGATTTGCCAATTCTCGTTCTGTTATTATTATTATTATTTTTTAACAGTTTTTTTTATCAATATATTACAGCTTAACTTTGAAAATACTCTAATTTCAACCACACCTGTAATTCCAGACACAAATAAATACGTGCCTCACGAAATTCTGGATCAGTATTATAATGCGTATGTGTTTATTAACATTAATTTCGAATTAAACTAGAGCTGGTCCCGAAACCTTTTTTTGCTAAATCCGAAAGTTTCGGGTTTCGGATTATAGCTTCTGAAACTTAATCCGAAACTCCAAACCCGAGTGAATTTAGTTTTTATTGTTTGTTGGGGATTATCGGATAATAAAAAATCTGATTGGTTAGGGTTAAGGTGATCTGCAAAATCTAGCCAATAAGATTTTTTATTATCGCTATAACCATAATCCGCGACAATTATTGTTATATAAAAGTCAAATTTTTATTATATAAATTGATATTAATTGTATAATAAAAGTTGTTCAGATCAAAATACACGTATCCTAAAATTGTTATACAAATTGGATAACTTTTTACTAATACGTTTTTGCATTTTACGTTTGATAGAAAAATTAAAATCATATTCGTTGAACGTAAAAAGCAAAAGCGTAATAATAAAAAATTATCCGATTTGCATAAATCTTTCAGAATATATGTATTTTGAATTATGATTACTTAGTGTAAAAATTTGACTCTTATAGTTTCGGGTTTCAGAGTTTCGATTTTTTTTTTTAAAAAAAAAAATCCGAAACTAGTTTCGGATTAGAACCTTCCCGAAACTAGTTTCGGGTAGGTTTAATTTCTAGGCCAACTCTTTAAACGATGACAATATTATTAATTTTTATTTATTTATTTATTTTCATGAATATAGTGGAACAGTTACGCTTATAATTGTTATTTGTGGCGTTGTTTCTTTGGCTGTCTTTGTGTACCGTGGAAAATTGAAAAGTAAAAGGAGCGTTAGTCAAGCAATGAAAGCTGCTGTTGAGAGTTCAAATAGTGAAATGTATTTATTCATTACTATATTATCATGATGTCTCTTTTTCATGTTAATGGTATTAATTTTTATATATTTTTCTACAAATTAGGGACGAACTAGTAATAGAACAACCTTTATTTCAGTCAGATAACGTTGATCATTTTGGAGATAGTGAAGAAGAAGATAACGGTCATGGTCAGTCTCTTGAATCTGGAATGCATAATAATCAAGATAGATATGTTGATGATGAAGAGCAAGGTAGATATGTTGATGAAGAGCAGACTAAATATGTTGATGAAAAAGATTACGATGAAAGGACGAGAATAAAACCAAGTGAAGATCAATAAAAAAATAAACATAACTAGTTTCAATTATTGTAATTTATATTAAAAAGAAATTAGAAACTTAATCATGTTCATTAGCATTTTTTCTTTATTTTATTTTTTATTTTATTTTTGGTGATTATTAAAAATTTAAATTCAATTGGTTAGACAAAAACATTTGGACTTTATTGTTTAGCATAATAATAAAATAGATTCATTAAATTTTTTATAATGTTAAAAAAAAAAAAAAATATATTAAATGTGCATTTTTGTTACACCTGATTATGAAATTTGGGTTGGCCTGATAACGAAATTTTTAGGTTGGTAAGCTAGGCATATTCTATCTCGCAGTAAAACCTAAGCATGTTTATATCACTGTGGTGGCTGAAGCTGAAAATTTTTAATATTTTATTATTAAATTTTTATCAGGAATATGGAAGTCAAGTTGTTTAGAAGCCACATAATCTAAAAATATAAAAGAGTATTTAATTTTAAGCATCAAAAAACAAAATAATATAAATTTAAAATAAGTACCATTGGATGTTTTGGTGTAATTTATTGACTATTTTATTAGCATTTAAAAATTGCCTTTTAATTTTATCATCATAATCATCGCTACTTTCATCGGAATTCTCTTTGATATCTTCATCTTCATTGTTTTAATCTGCATCATTATCATCGTTACTACTTTCATCTGCATTATTATCGTTATTTCATCCATGATTTTATCGCATTTAAAAAGTTTCATCCAAATAGCGCCAGCCGTTTCGTGGATCAGGATCCATGCATTGCATTGCCAATTCAACCGGGAGTTCCGGAAGCAAATTCAGGTCGCAATCCATTGCAAATCTTTACTGCAAGATCAATATCAAATTTATAACCATCAAAAGGTCTTTGTCCAGTTAACATCTCTGACATGATGACACCAAAGCCATATATATCAGCAGTTACTGTAAACTCTTTACCTCGGACGCGACATAAGGCATACTCCATAAATATTACCTTCAGAAACGTTTTCACTAATCTTTTTAGACAATCCTGGATCTGAGATGTAAGATCTCATATTTTCACTAATGTCTTTATCTTGCAAAATATTACCACTGTGAAAGCCAGTATGAATATATCCTACTTCATGAATTCTACGTAATTCTTCTGAAATACCTTTAAGTAGTTGTAATTATACATGTGTGCCTAAATTATTTTTATTGCTAAATTTTTTATATGAAACCCTCCGAAATAACTACACTATATGATGTATTTTGATGAAAAGAGTTCAAGAAATTTCGACAATAATTTCGGCAAATATGAAAATTAATTTCGGCACTATATAAGACTTATTTCGGCTGCCTAAATTCCGCAATTACTTTTTTATTAGGATGGGCAATTTAGGCATACATGTATAGTTGTAATTTAGCCTGCCAATTGTTTTCGAAAGTTTATTCTTAAAAACTTGTAAAGATTTCCACTATCAACATATTGAAATACTATTTGTCTCTGTGTTTTGAGTTAATCCATATATATTATTAAGCTTACTACCCCGTATATTACATTTCATATGATTTTCAAACTTTAAATGAATTAATTTAATGTTAATTATTAAACTATACAATAAACTAATAATTAACCTACTTCTTTCAAAAAATCAAGAGAGTTTTCCTCTGAATCAGACAATGTCTTAAGCGCAACGATGCTAGGTTGTTCACGTACTCTTTTATAATTACAATCAGTACCATCAATTTTTCGTATACCATCCAACCAGGTTGCAGAAAATACAGAGCCAAATCCTCCTTCGCCAATTTTTGTAATATTATCTAGTCTATCAATGGACCCTTCAATTATTTTCTCATATCCATGAGAAATTATTTTATAAAATAATCAATATCCTTATTTCCACTTGTCCATCCTTGAATTGTTATGTCAGGATCACATGTCTGACACCATGATGAATTCGTGTTACATTCATTACAATTTGTCCATTTTCTATAGCAAGAGTTTCTTAACAATTATCGATTTTTATATTTATTTAAATTTCAAATGTAAATAGTTTTATGCTCACCGACTAAATTTATTATAGAGTTATATTGTTTAAATGAATATTTGTATTATTTTAAATACATCGATTAATAAATTTTCTTAATACTCACAAACTAAATTAGCGCGAATAAAATGAAATGAAATATTTATGAACTTGAATAGCTTATTTTAAATACATTGATTAATAATGTTCTTTATACTCACCGACTAAAATTAACATGAATAAAATGAAATTAAATATTCATGAACTTGAATAGCTTATTTTAAAAAAATGCATCGATTAATAAATGTTCTTTATATTCACCGACTAAATCAATGCGAATAAAATTAAATTAAATATTCATGAACTTAATAGCTTATTTTAAATACATCGATTATTAAATGTTTTTTATACTCACAAACTAAATTAACGTGGATAAAATGAAATTAAATAATTATGAACTTGAACAACTTTATTTTAAATATATCGATTAATAAATATTCATTATACTCACCCACTAAATTAATGCGAATAAATGAAATTAAATACTCGTAAGTATAAAAGAACCTTTATTAAATCGAAGTTTTATTCAAGTTTATGAATATTTAATTTTAATTTTAATTTTTCATTGTTGATTTAGTTCGTGAGTATAAAAAAAAAAAATTTTATTAATGATGTATTAAAAATAAGCTGTTTATGAATGTTAATTTATTAAGTAATATGAATTTCATATAAATTAATTTAGCCGGTGAGCATTTGTGTTAAAATTAAGAATCATATAAAATAATATATAACTAATATGATATAATTATAAACAAAGGTGTTCCGAATATGGAAAATGTACACATTGTAATGAAGATAACACTAATAGAGCATGGTGCTATTCATGTGATCCAGACAAAACAATTCAAGGATGGATAAGTGGAAACAAAGAAATTGATTATTTCATGAAAGAATTTCAACTTAGAACTTATGCATATGAGAGTATGATTGAATGGATTCCATTTTACAGACTAGATAAGATTGAAGTTATCGGTGAAGGAGGGTTTGGATCAGTATTTTCTGCAATCTGGATAGATGGTGTACGAAAAATTGATGGAGAAGAAGGCAATTATATTAGAACACGTAGTCCATCTAGCATCGTTGCACTCAAGACTTTATCTGGTTCCAAGGGAGACCCTTTTGATTTTTTGAAACAAGTAAATAAATCATTGTTATTTTATTGCAATAATTATTAAAACATATTACATTGAACTAATTAATTTTATATAAAATTTATAAGTTTAACGATCATATGCAATATAAAAGATTTGGTGGTAAACTTGAGATATATGGATTAACTCAAGACACCGACACAAAAGAATACTTGATGGTGTTTCAATATGCAGATAGTGGAAATCTTCGTAAATTTTTAACAAAATTTCGAGAACATACTTGGCAAACTAAATTAAAACTACTTGAAGATATTTCATTGGATTTATATGAAATTCATAATGCAGAATATATTCATACAGACTTTCATAGTGGTAATATTTTATTAGATCAACATATTAGTGAAAATTTGCAGTCTTACATCTCAGATTTAGGATTGTCTAAAAAGAATGTTGAAAATAGTTTAGAAGGCAGTATTTATGGAGTCATGCCTTATGTCGCACCAGAAGTTTTGTTAGGTGAGGAGTTTACATCAGCAGCAGATATTTATGGTTTTGGAGTTATCATGTCAGAGATGTCAACTGGACAAAGACCTTTCGATGGATATAAATTTGACATTGATCTTGCAATAAAGATCTGCAATGGATTGCGACCAGAATTTGCATCTGGGACACCTGATCGCTATATTGAATTGGCGAGGCAATGCATGGATTCCGATCCAAAAAAACGGCCTACTGCCGAGGATGTTTATAATAAACTTAGTAAATGGAGTAAAATTATGGAAGGTTCAAATGGCATTGACGATGTTGATGATGAAGATGAAGATGAAGATTATGAAGAAGAAGAAGCAGATATAAATGAAATTAAAAAGCAATTCTTAAATGCTGATAAAATTGTCAAAAATTTACCAATTATCTTACCAAAACATCCAGATTCTATGTATACTAGCAAAAAGATTAACACGCAAGTAATTTCAATCGCAATTAAAGGTATAATTTAAAACAATATTAATTAAACAGTATATTACTTTATTTATTTATTTAAGATTAAATATTTTATTATTCTTTAAATTACGTAGATCCTAAACAAATTAATTTTCACATTCACGAGAATTTTGAAAGTTTTGGTATCTATACAGTATAATAAACTAGGACTGTTGGATATTCAGAGCTGAAAGTAGAAATAATGTGAGATAATTGATCATATTTGATACGTTCCGGATAATAAATAAGAATATATTATAAACTTTTTAAAAAAAAAGTGTCACTAGCGTTGACAATGTTAGAACTAGATTTAGGTTTACGGTTTATAATTTTTGGTAAAGATGTAATGTAAAATTAAATAATTATTTTTTTCTTACAAATAAAACCTCATATTTAAGGTCAGTATTAGACCGATTATAGTGATATTATAATTATAGTCAATCAAAAAATAATAGTTTGGATTAATTAGTTTTTTTTTTTTTTAATTTAACAGTTAAAAAAAAAAAAATTTCATGTATTGATTTACATTGTCTTATAAAATTTTTATCAGTTTACCCATATAAATTTTTGTATGAAATAAATAATTATTTGACTAACAATTATATTTTCGGGTGTCAATGCAGCCTCATAGTAAACATTGGGCTGTCGTGGACGCGTAACGCGTTCAATGCCGATAAAAAAAACGATAACTGATAAGGGACGAGATGATCTTTTATACGCAACCCTATAAGGCAATATTATGGTATAGTATAATTTTCTATTTGCAGTAATTAATTATTTAACTGTGTGAAACTCGTACGTATAGGTTTCTCAGCAAAATACTATCGGAATTTTTGCAAAATTGCATGAGGTGAGGAAAATTTTTTTAATTAGTCTTTCCCTATTATAATAGAGCTATTATTATAGGATAAGAGCCAGATAACAAAACAATAATTTTTTGATATTTTGCGAAATTCTACGCCTTGGAGTTTTTATTTTGTCCTATCACTAAAAAGTAAAGTCAGGTCAGGCTAGTATTATTTAATGCCGGCCTATTCCGATCCAAAATTTTGGGGATCTGCCGACAATCATATCATTGTTCCGTCTAAAGGTTTTCCCTTGTTAGTGCCACAAACAATTAAAAAAAAAAACTACATAAGGATAAGCATAGCAATGCGATCTCGATATAATATACTGAATAAACAAAAAATCCTTTTAAATATATATACAGTAAAAAAAAACACAAATAAAAGAAGCCAGACTTTCAATTTGAAATGTGCTGTTTTTCCTGTATTACGATTTCTCATTCGTTATTGATTGCTACACAACTCAACTTCCTGCAATTCGATTACACAACTTTCTGCATCAATTCTATTAACCAATAAAAATTTTATTGTTATTTTTTATTTTTTTTTGCCCATTTCAGTTCATCAAATTTAATTGGGTGGTTGTGCCTTCGTTTTAAAGAAACTGCGCCCAAATTTTTATACCTTTGAATTAAATAAAAAGTTTTTACGATTACATTTAGTATTAGAGAGGGTGTGCTTTAATATTATGCAAAACGCAATAAGAGCTCTTAAAAGCTTGGAAAGGTTGAAAAAAAAATTAATTATGCTACTGTATGTACTGTACGAGATTTTCCATTGTTTATGATCGTATGTTTAATAAATATACTAATATAGAATACAAATACAAGACTTGGAACTATGAAAACGTTACTTCCTATGAAAGAAATCGATTGTATTGCGTGATAAATAAAATAAAATAAAATAAAATGATAAAAGTATAAAAATACAAGACACTTGCCGTTGCTATACTTTAAATTCTTCGATTTAATAATTTCATTAATCAAATAATTTCGTTAATCATTAATTAAATAATAATGTTACGTGTATCTATTTTTATTATAATTACTTTCGCTGCATTTGCTTCATGCTTGCAAAATGGACTTGGTATAACACCACCCATGGGATGGAATAGTTGGAATAATGTAAATATTATAAATATATATATTGGAAACCCACCATTAAGATGACTAACTAAATAATACTCTACTTTTAAAAAGTTTCATTGTAAAATTAATGAAACCTTAATTAGAAGTACCGCTGATAGCATGATTAAATATGGTTTTCTTAATGCTGGCTATAAATATTTAAACCTTGGTAAGCTAATCATTTCGATGAAAAATAAAATATCATCTGACATTTTATCTTAATAATGATTTAATCTATATAGATGATTGTTGGTCAAGTCCTCATAGAAATTCAACTGGGTATCTTATGCCTGACCCAAAAACGTGAGTATTAGTTGTTAATAATCAAAAAATTATTTCATTTACATAACTAATTTAATTGGTATACGTATTCAAGATTTCCTAATGGAATAAAAGGTAATAATTTGGATTTTACTGTATAACAAATGTACTGTAGATGATTAAC